ATTTATTGATTTTAATAACATGTTAAATTATATAAAAAAATAAAAAAATTCATACAAAAATCATTTCAAATGGCTTTCCTGAAAACTTGCCAGTATTATATATTATTAAATAAATAAATAAATTTAATATTATAAATTTTACATAATTAAAAAATTTATTGATTTTAATAACATGTTAAATTATATAAAAAAATAAAAAAATTCATACAAAAATCATTTCAAATGGCTTTCCTGAAAACTTGCCAGTAGATTATATTATTACAGCATCAAACAAAAGACAAATCAAAAAAGAGGGAGTAATTTGCTGAACGGCAACAGCTTGTCCTAAATTAAATTACTTTATGCTATTAATTATTCTCTAAGCATTATTTTACCTTTTACATAAAGACGCTGAATTCCCTGATTCTCTATCCCCCGATCCCTGCAGGATTTCGAGAAAAAATCGAAACTTGTAAGCTCTCTCTCTCCTCTCATTACATGCGTAAAAACTGAAAGTTAGAGTCTTTTGCTAGATTTTGTTGCTTTCCTTTCACTTCTTTGTGCCCCCATCTGCATTTTATGGGGTTTCATGCTCGATCCTTGTTTATGGATGAGTCAATTAAGTTGGATTATGTTCTGTTTGGTTGCTGGGAAATGTTGGGAAGGTGAGGACATTCCCTTTTGAAGCTTAATTCTGCATAAATTGTAAGGATGGGTTCTCAGAATTTTCTCTTTCTTCCACTTGTTTTCTTGGTAATCAAACGATTTCTTACTGGATGATTTCTGTTTCTCATGATGTGACATTGTAATAAGTTAAGTAACTTTTATTGAATTGTATGGCAATTACTCTGACAATTTCTTTAGTATGCATCTGTATGTGAAATTTGGACTCTTTACAAAAAGTAAGTTATTTCTATTATGGAATTTCTAGGCAAAAGCACCATAATTTTTGTGTTTCCTTACAGTGTGCTGACAAACTGACAATGATATGTTCTTTTTTCTCTAATTTTACTATTTATTTTGCCCAATTTTAGGGTTCCCTGCCTTAGGTTAGATGATGAACTTGTGACATAGAATTGGAGGAGCCAGGATTAGACTTCAGAAAAATGCGGTTGTTTTCATCAAACTCAAGTGTGAAAAAAGGGCAGAGTAGTGGAGGCAATCGTGCTTTGTTATATCTCAATGTATATGATCTCACACCTATAAATAACTATCTTTACTGGTTTGGACTTGGGATATTCCACTCGGGTATTGAAGGTATCATTTTGTATGTTTAGCCTTCTCTGATATTAGTTTATTTTCTTTGTGCATACAGATTTTGCTGCCTAATCACTGTGGATACCTTTAGCCTGATTCCTGTTTATTTATTTGATTGAAATTGTCAATTTGTGATACTTTTGTTACTTAATAATTACCTTTAAATCATACATAAAATGATAGGATATACTGCTTTCAGATTTTCTGGAAGGACATTGAACATACACAAGATTTTTGTGTATAGCTTTTGCTTGCTGCATCACATAAATGAATTTTGTGAAAGCAAAAAGAGGATAAAGAGGTCCAAGTGATCTCTCTGAAGATTGTGTACATGTTATTTTCAACTTTGTCTGAGTAGCATTAGAATGAAGTTTAAAGTTCAGCAGTTCGCCTTGATTGTATTAAATTTGAACAGTTTTGAATTGACATGTGAGAAAACATAGAAGAGCATCCACTGGTTGTCTGTCTCATCTGGTGTACATTTTTGGTCTTTTTTTGGCATCCTAGGAGTATGTTATAAAAAAATGGTATTTTCAATCCCAATTTTGTTCAGCCTTTCCTTTTGTGGTAAATTATGATTCATTAATGTATCGTGCCTAATTTGCCAATCAGTGCATGGTTTGGAATTTGGCTTTGGAGCCCATGAGTACCCTAGCAGCGGCGTGTTTGAAGTGGAACCAAGAAGTTGTCCTGGCTTTATTTTTAGACGGTCTGTGTTGTTGGGAAGCACTGACATGTCTCGTTCAGAGTTTCGGTCTTTCATGGAAGAGCTCTCTCGAAAATATCATGGGGACACATATCATTTGATTGCCAAGAACTGCAACCATTTTACTGACGATGTATGTAAACAGCTAACAGGAAAGCCTATTCCTGGATGGGTAAATCGGCTAGCTCGACTAGGTGGGGAACTTTTCTGCTTACATTTTAATGTTACTTGAGAAGCTATTTCAAACCTTTCAGGATGGCTTCTGGGCCTATTAAAGTGCATATTTGTGTGACATGGTCATAAATATATCCTATTGTTAGAAAGAGATGGATAAAGTTGCTGCGATTTATTTAACTTCATGAATTTCAATTTGGAGAGAACAGTCATGGCATAACCACACATTTAAATCGCATTTTCCTTTATAGTGATTAAACAGATATAAGTCTGTAAAATAGAATTTATGAGGAAATAAGTAACTACCGGTTAGAGGACCTTGATTTTGATGTTCTATTGGTTCTTGCTCAAGTTCCGAGCAACATATTTTGAGTTAGACAGAAGGAATCAGCTATAAGAACATATGATATGATATTTATCTCGTGGATCATTCAAGAATGTTCAATTAGTTCAAAGAGTTACTATAAATTAATTCCAATTTTATAGTTTCTAGAAGCCACCTCATTATTCGCCTGGCAAAAAGTTTAATGTCAATATATATTTTATGACTTCCGTGAAAGGTTATATGCTGATCTTTTTAGCATTCATTTTTGGAAGGGTGTGGGTGGTAGTATACTTTCAAAATTTTGATACCATGCTTCTCATGAGATTGCATCCATCTTATTGGAAAGCCTTTTAAAGTTTCAGGTTCATTCTGTAACTGTCTTCTGCCAGAAAACATTCAAGTTGCTGCAGTTCGACACCTTCCTGATCATTCAACATATTCTGGTTAGTTCTTGGACACCCTTTTTTTGTGTTCTCCTTCTTTCTTTTTCTCTGGTGGAGAATATTGATTTAGTTGTCTGTTCAAAGAATAAATGAAAATCAGTATTTCTACCAAGGACTAAAAATATGGGGTGAGGAACTTCCTTTTCCTCATCTCTTTCCTTTCAAGGTCTAGAAAACATTTTGTGCTGGATTTCTCTTTACCCCTGATTGTCACGGATCTCCTCTTTTGACATGTTGGCACTTATTTCCCCATACTGGCCCACAGAAATTATTTAGCACTTTGTTTAATGGACCAAGCATTGATTAAGTAGAACCATACAGTGGTTGAAATTAGTATCTTGTCATAAACAATTGAGATGTTTTATTTTATCCAAATCCAATCCATAATTGGCAGCGCCAAAAACAGTAAAACGGTTATTTGTGGTTGTCTAAATTTTGTTGTTGCGTAATGAATGAATTATTTGTCTTTTCATTTCTTGATCCGAATGTTATGCCATTGCAGATGATGAAGGATCAGATTCTGCTGCAACGTCTCTAACAACCATGAGTGAAGAAGGGGCAGATCATTATCTGCTTACAACACCAAATAGCGACGTTGCATTTCTAAAAGAAAAGCCAGTGCTTGTAGCAAAGGAAGCACCGTGATCTCTTATCAAATTCCACTTGTTTATGCCTTGGACCTTCTGTTGTTTGTACTTTGTATGATCTCCATTGCATCACTGAGTATGCCTATGCTTTTCCAGATATAAGGATGATGCACAAGAGTCGCCCATAATCTTGTTCTTTCTCCTGAATGTATTGTGGTCTTGCTTTAGGTTGTACCTTTACTACCATGCAAAGAGTTGTAATTCATCACTATATGACCCTTTTTATGTTATGGGTTATTAACAGGTTCCATTAGGGTGAAAAAGGATTCCATTATTCTTGTAATTTATCATCACATAAGGAATTATGTCCTTCCTAGTTTCAAATTTCAATATTCTTTATACAGCTATTAGTAGGGTATATTGTTTGGACAGCTATTCTCTATACAGAAAATTTTAATATTTTTGCAATTAAGCCAATCAAGCTTCTTTTTAAGTCTCCTATCTTTTCAATCTATTCAATTGAACCCTTACGTGACCCTTGAAGACTAAATTAAAGGAACCGGCTTTAATTAGGCAAAGTGCTTGTAAAAAGGAAGACTCCAATCTTGAAGAGAACAAGTTTCTGGCGTGTAAAAGGTGTAAGCAAAGAAAATCCAAAAGGAATTAGACCGGCAGTAGGCAATCTTCCATAGAATAGGGAAGTAAAATAAGAATTCTCCAATCAGGAGAGATGCCTGACTCTCAGGCCACACCACACTTGTCTGTTTTCTAAGTTGCCTTAATTAATAATCAATTTGCCCCAATCAATAGTCTGTGAAGTTGTGCCAGCTAACAATCTTAATGCTTGAATAGTCAAATACTTGAAAGAAACTATTTTTTTATGTTCAGGGTAATGTTCCTACATGGATGTTTCCAAGCAAATGGGCAAACAAAATTAGGGAAAAAAAATGAAAAAGAATCTGATTACTTGTGACTGGGTTTGGTACAGGCTGCTTTTATTGGTTCTCTAAGTCAATGTCTGTGTGCGGCATTTCTTCTATACTTCTTCCTTTTTACCTTCTATATAACAGAACTAGAAAACTATTATTTGCATTGCCTCTCCTCTACTTGTCTTGTAAGCAAATGGGTGCTTCTCTCTTCTCCCTTCTCTTCTTCTGCATAACTCTCTCTCGTGTAGAGGCATTTGAGGCCAATCGTCCACCTGCAAAATGCAGTGATGGTGCTGTTGATATCAGGTTCCCTTTCAGAGTGAAATCCCAGCAGCCTCAACACTGCGGCCGCCATGGCTTTGAGCTTGATTGCAGGAAGAACACCACCATGATTCATTTCCCATCTTATGGAGACCTGGTTGTGACATCCATTTCCTATGACACAAAGCGGGTCAGTCTTCTTGACCCTAGAAATTGTGTCCATGAAGTCTTCCTCAACCTCAATCTCTCCCTCACTCCATTCAACAACTACTTTGTTCTCAAGAACTACACTTACCTCAATTGCTCATCCACGCTTTCTTCCCACTCCTCCGAAATCCCATGTTTAAGTGGGGAGGGAAATCATGTTTACACTGTTGAACCTTCATCCCCTTTCCCAGATTCTTGCACACCAATAAAAACTGTTTCAATCCCATTTCCATATAGTCCTTACCTTTCTGATAATACCTTTGGGCTTCAGCTGACATGGGACTTCCCAGAATGTAACGACTGTGAAGGAGGAGGAGGGCAGTGCATCTTCCAGGGTGAAAAACCATGGTGTTTCTACAAATCACAGAAAAAATCTCATGCAATTACAGAAGGGATACACAAGCTTCTCTACAATCTTCTTCATATGTTCTTATCCCTGATGCAACAAAATTAAAAATTGAGGAAACCACAATTTTTAGTGAAGGCATGCTTGTATATATCCATGTATTATTAGTATACAAGTCCTGGTTCCAGAAATAATGAAAGCAAAATTTATTTTTCTCCCTCATACTTGCAGAGATGTATGGTTTATTACAAATTTGCCAATTAATTCAACATCATCATGTTATCTAGACTAGTTCTTTACGCAATTGCTTTTATCATTGATGGCTTGCTTTAAAGTTTTAAACTTTAAACTAGTTTGTTGCTTTTAAGTTGTTTAATTCTACCTTCTCCACCACGAGAAAAGCCAGATACATCATAACAGAATGGTTTATTTTAACTGAAACCAGTTCCTCTAAAGAAAACCAAAACTGAATTTCTTATGTTGATAAGAAATTTCCAGGAAACAATTTGCCGGTAATGTCTCATTTCTATCTATATTGATTGTTTCATTATGATGGTGTACTTTGACCTTAAGTTTGTGGTCCCATGGTCTCTGAGAAGACTTGACTAGTTGCTTGCATTGATGTTTCCTCGTTCAATCAAGAGGAGGTTTTATCAATTACTAAAATATAAAAATGACCTTGACTGTACCACCAAAAAATACAAAAAAAGACCTTGACTTCTAAAATGGAAAAACTATGGAAGGAGCCTAAGCAATTAGTCTTCAAGTACAATTATACTGGGCAAGCCTTGGCAGTACCATCCAATGAAAATGGATTCCTGGAAGATTCTTGGGTTGAAAAAATGGGGACACAACAGAGTTGATTTTTTGGGTCTATACGGTGGGGGACGGGTCAAGGAGGGAGGGTTTGGGTTTGAACCCTCAACCCGGTGGTACCATCCCAGGGACAAGGGCACAAAAGGGTTGATTAATATCTGGTTTAGTTCTGTGTACAAAACCTTGTTGTGCAAAAAATAAACAATTATTGAACCTTGTTTGATGTGAGATGCTAATTAAACTAACAGCGGCAGACCTCCAATAGCAACCAATGTAAGTGGTGACACAAAATCAAGGAAGGTATCTTTAAAAAAAGAGAGGTATCTAATGAAATATCATATGCTTTGGTTGTCGCGCCTCATTATAACACTACGCGTGCACACTTTGTAGAGAGTTAATTATATAAAAATCTAAGTCAATCTTATCTGTCTTTGTCTATCTCATACTAAAATTGAAATCAAAAGGAGAAGAAGCAACAGTGTTGATGAATTCAAAGGAGATGGAGATTGAGTATTTCCTCCATGTCCATCCCTTGTTGCTTGTTAAAGAGGAATATTATGATGAAGTT